GGAAGCCTTAAAGGTACTGGAATTTAAGTGCCTTAAAGGTATCGCTGCAGCAAAATCGTACAAGTGTGTGGTTCCTCATTTAAAACAATGGTCGGCATTGTTGTAATTTTTATCGGAACAGATTCGCACCGACAGAATCGCTTAAATGTTTCGAAAACAAAACATTTATGTACATACATATGTACATATATGTACTTTGTAGATTTTTAAAACAAACGAGATATAAATAAATGTAGGTACAGTATTAGGCACAGAGATGAGGTCATTTAACATTTTTTGGTTGTATGAATTATATACATACATATGTCCATGTTATGTACCAATAAGTTTAATTCCATAAAACTAAATTTAAATCATTTAATTACACATGCAAATATTTAACAGCTGACCACACAATGTGCGGGTCATTTTTGTTTACAAGTTCCTTGCTTAACATTTTGCTATTGATACTGTCAATCTTAAGTATATTTCTTAGTTTAGTTTTTATCAAAGAAAGCGTTGAAAATTTGCGTACTACAGCCGTAGAGCTATGTGGTAATGAAATTATATTAAAAACAAAATTGGCGAGCTATTTTCATTCATTCCATTTTTAATAGAATAAACTTTCTCCTAGAACATACAGTCAGTCAATAAAGTTTAGGTACAGCGAATTTTTTACAGTATGGGCAACTATTTTTTAAATATTTTATTTTTCGCTAATTTTTTATAAAAATATGGTTAATTCTACAACAAAACCCCTAAAATTCAAAATTCCAAACCTTGTGCAAAATTAAAGAAAATTCTGCAAAATTTCATTCAAATATTGCACTTTTTATTTACGCTCTCTAGAAAAAAGCTGAGTATGCAGTTTTTTAGCCCATTCAATTTTAGTATAATAAAGTGCAAGTATGAGGAAGCTAGGACTTACCATTGATTTTTGGGGAATTTTTTTGTTGAAGGTTTAATAGTTGCCCATATTTTAAAAAATTCGCTGTACCTAAACTTTATTGACTGACTGTATCAATATCCAGATCGGTGGAAAAATCAAGCTCACTTTGCTCAGTAAATTCCACTGTGTGGTTATTATATCAGGATCGCAATCTATGAGATGGGGAAACTTAACAAGAGAAATAAAATTGGTAAATCTTCTTTAGAAACTACCTAAGCTGGTGTCATTATTTGTAAAGATTTATATCTTCGCGATTGAAATGAAAACTTAAATTTATTTGGTCCAAAAACTCTATGTAAAACTTTAATATATTGGTTTTAGCTTCAAGGATTCCAGAACAATTGACATTACTTTTCATAAACATCTCAATTTTCGTTCCAACAAAAATGTTAGATATTTTAAAATGATAATTTTAATTTTTTAAATCAACATTAATATGTTACTGATCGCATTTTTTTAATAAAGTTACTCAAAATTAAGAGATAATGTGCTTTGATAGTTGCTTATAAGTATGGCAAACGAGAGCTTTCAGCTTGGAACTCTTTGTTAAGATTGTTAATTATAGGGAAAAAACGATAGAAAAAAATGCATTTGGTTTTGTAACACATTCCTTCTGCCAGGTCTGCAGATCGCATACCGTTTACTTCATAAAAGTAAGAAATGAAATATCGTGTTTGAGATATGCCGAAGATTTTGTGGGGTTTTACCATGTATCCTCTTTGGACCGTGGGAAAAGAAATTATATATGTTGCGGCACAGTGTCTCAATGCTTATCGGCAATTTTTTACAAGCGTAGCTTGAGCAAAGGTGAAGTGAGTGGCATGCGCACTTTACATATCATTACATTATCTGGCTACCCCAACTGGGTCAGACCTTCTGCTTTTTAATTATTTAAGCATCGATTCTCTTTATAACTACGTGGCATATATCTGCGGGAAATCCCTATTGAAGGATCTTACCAGTGTTGCCGTTTTAGCCCTTTGGTGGCTAGATTTAGCTACCACATACTTTTTTTGGCCACGTAAATTTGAAATTGCCCCTAGCCCTTTTTTTAGCCCTTTGGAGAATTTATTCATACATGGCGTGAAAAAGTTTTATATGCTTAATTTGATCTCTTTTTTCATTTATGTAAGATATGAATTTTTAAACTAAGAAAGACTGATATACATATATACATATATGTATGGTATGTTCCTTACGTTTTTATACATAAATACTATAAAATAGTTAAGGCTGTTCACTTATCTATTAGCGATTTAACTATAGTTTAATATATATAAGTTTACGGCCCTTAATATGCTTAGGGCCGGTTACTCAATGTCTGGTTAACACTAATCTGCGGTTAAACATCGTTATCGACGTCTACGACTCCATGCATACAACAGGGAGTCGGTAACGTCGATAACTATGTTTAACCGGGGATTAGCGTTAACCAGACATTGAGTAACCGGCCCTTAATTTGTTAAATGGCCCATCATGTCGATTGACTGTGTATGTTCTTGTGGTGTGATTGAACCAGCTGCTGGTGCGATTTCAAAAACTATTTTGAGTGGTGAAATTAGCTCAATTTACTATGTAAAAAGTATTTTGGCTGAAATTTCCTGCACTTTATGAGTCAAAGCAGTGTTTGTGGAAGATTAAGTTCGCGATATTGCAGTTGTGAATTAAAAAAAAAAACCAATGTTTAACAAAATGGTAGGAAAATTGTGAAATTTCGGCTCTAATCATTTTGATCTTTCCTCGACCTCATTTGTAAAGAAATAAATATTGTACCAGCATGCTGGTACAATCACTTGATGGTACAATCACTTGATGGAGCCAGCAAGCTGGTGTCGTATATTTCCCCTTTTATACAAAAAGGTTTAGCTTTTTACCCAGTGTTCATTGTTTTTCTATACCATTACTTATTCAAAATGTTTGTGTGTATACTTATATATCGTCGCTCGAATAAAGAAACAGTGTAAATGCCACATACACTATTATTCGATAATTGCACCATTGGATAGACAATCCTTTAATCTATTAGAAAAATCTTTAGTTTTCTTAAATATCTCTTTGGCTCACTAATTTATTCCCGAAAAACGAAATTGCATTTGTATGGTTTGTAATGGTTTATAAAAACTTCCAATTCGTTTTTCTCAAAACTATACTTTTCATGTTACACTATTTCATTATTCCAGCGACGATATGTATATGTTAGTAAAAAATTTTAGCTACCATTTTTAGCCACAACGACTTTTTTTAGCTCTTTTTTAGCCCTTTTTTTAAAGGAATTTGGCTACCACTAAATTTGATTCGCGGCAACACTGGATCTTACCCTTTGACTTTAAATAGCAAAAGATGGGGACGTAGAGGGAAAATTTCGCCGCAGAAGTATTCAACGTATCCAACGTATATAATAATAATAGATTTGGGCTTACACAATATGTTAGTATTTGGCCGAGCTTCTGCTCCGATTTGTGGCGCGAGCCTTGATTTTGCCACAAAAAGGGGAGGGACCTACACATTTACGCCGAATCCAAACGGCGATTGTATTTTCATGAGAACCTGGTTTTCATGGCAGAAATACACTTGGAGGTTTGCCATTGCCTGCCGAGATGCGACCGCTATTAGCAAAAACTTTTTCTTTTATTATATTTCTTTGTTAGTCGGAAAATAGGCTCGATCCTTGGCCCTGCCGGATGGTAGTGCGTACTTCTAACCACTACAGCACAGCAGCCGCCAAACCCTATAAAAAAAAAATGGATCGATAAGTAAACAAAATTACTGTTTTTTTTGAAAGACCACCATATAACATCAAACGCAAATCACGAAAATGTGGTTTAAAATTAAAGTGCACACTTTCTTTTTTTATGCCTAGTATTTTTTTTTTAAGATTGGTCCACAAAAAACATAAAAGAAATAAATCCAAGTGTTTTAAGCACAGAAAACAAAAGCAATATTATTAAAAGGACAATGTTCTCTTTGACGTCAAAGATCAAGCAGAAGTGGGAACTTGTATGGTTACGGTGACCATATTTATGGGAGCCGAATACGGGACAAAAAATAATTTTGCAAATTTTTTCTACAGAAAATTACAGATCTTAAAGCCTAAGATCCTAGACATACTGCCCCTGAAACAGCATCCTTATAGTAACATCTCAAATTTGTAGGATATTTTTACCCAGAAAATATTTTTTTTTAAATTCGGTAAATTTTAGTATAATAAAGTGTAATTTTGATATCGCTAAGACTTTTTTGGCAATTTTTTTGTTGACGGTGTTACGCAGTTTTTCATAAAAAGTAAGTATCTATGTTCGGCAATTTTTTTAAAGGAGAAGCACTTTCCACTTGCTTATTATTATAGTCAATGTTAATGAGCTTCAAAACTACAAACCTTTTTTTCCTAAGATTCTAATTAAAAAGTTTGAGGTTTTGGTGAAACATTGCAGAATAAATTTTTATAGTTTTTTGCACAAAGTCGGAAATTTGGATTTATATGGTTTTTGTTAGGAAAAGAACTTTAATTTCATAAAAAAATAATAAACAATAAAATATATAAACTAAAGAAAAATAGCCAAACCTGGCTAAAATTTCGGGTCCTTATTTATATTTTGGTCACTTATGTATTCCTCGATACGAATCACAGGCATTCAGTTTAGAAAATAATAGCTGTTTATGGATAAAATTACGATCATATACCAACATCACTTAAAGCTGGTTCATAGGCAAGCAATTTTAATGAGCTGTTAAGGAGTCAAAATAACGAACACCGAATACGGGACAAATACAGGACATTAAAAGAAATACAGAACATTTGGCGTCCGGTATAAAATAAATAAATTACCAGGACAATGGGTCAAAAAAGAGGACTGTCCCGTATAATACAGGAGGGATGGTCACCGTATGTATGGTTAAGGTTTTGAGTACCTGAAATTCATGCTCCATTTTAAAATTACCATACATTTAAGTCCGTTTTTTAAATTAGCAGAAACTTATGCCTAAGTTAAAAAATGCCCAAATATTTATGTTAAATTTTTGAATATCCAGCAATGTGCAACTTTAAAATGCTTTTCTCTTTTGATACTTTCAGTGACTTCACGGTACGGCGAAACGTCAGATAAAGCCAAAAGAAAAGTTTTGAATCTCGATTGTGGAAATACATCTACTATTTAATAACTGTGCATGCATATATTTATAATTGCGTTTTTGAAAGAAGAAGTTAAAAAACAAAATGTTGATTAGAATGTATACCACTCAACTGATACTGGCGGCTTGTCTGCTATTATTCTATGGTTTGGCGAGAGCGACCGATTCATCTCCAGCATCACTCAAATATCAAATAAGCTCATCCAGTGAAAATGATGACTATTACCTGTCACAAAAAGGTATGCCAAAATAAGAGGTTTGCAGAAGTTCAAAGTTAAGGAGTTATAAAAAGCAGTTTATTAAACAACAAAAAAAATCTTCCTAAATCCCAAAATGATATATTAAATTTCACTATTTTTCACTGTTTAGAAAATGTTTTAGAGAAGTCCTATCATGGCTTGATACGTGAGAATGAGACTTTAGTTGAAATAACTCCGCTCATCAAAGTCGATGAGGAGAAAATTTGTAATTTTCGCATTTTGAAAAAACCATATCATGAAATACCTTTTCAGGTACGTGTTTTCCCTAATAAATCGGTTTCTCACAATAACAGCTCTCACCCTAATAATAACTCTCCGAATGTCACTTTTAGATTGAATTGGTCAATAACTTAGGCATACTAAAGGCTCGTCGAACATTAAATTGTGAGAAGCGAAAGAGTTATCACTTTGAGATAATGGCAATTTTTTGCGATTGGACGCACTCTGCCACGGCCAATGTGCATATAACGGTTATAGATATAAATGAATACGCACCGACATTCCTGCAGCCATCGTACGTTACTGAAGTCGATGAAGGACGTCTGTACAAAGAGATTATACGCGTCGAGGCTACCGATAAGGATTGCACGCCACTATTCGGAGATGTTTGCAAATACGAAATCCTCAACAATGATCAGCCCTTTATAATTGACAATGAGGGTTCCATCAAGAATACCGAACCTTTGTCGCACAAAGTCTCGCATAACCACATTCTATCGGTGGTTGCTTACGATTGTGCCATGAAGGAGTCTGCGCCAATTATGGTGAGCATTAAAGTACGTCGCGTTTGTGAGGCGAGATTCCTAGGCATTCCTGAACGTATCGACTATACGGTAAGTTTAAAAATGCACAACAAAAATTGTACTTGAAGCATGATACAAAAAAGAGGGTAGGGAGGATAATAAAATTGTTTGAAGTTTCATAAATTGTGAGTATTATCAACGGCCTTGCCACTTTGATAATATTAAAACAATAAATCGGAGTATTTTCCTTCCCATATTTATATCAATGTAATAATATGTCAAATCAAAAACCATTATCAGTGCTTGGTATTTTTTTTATTTATGAATGGGACATAACTTGAGCGTATGTGTACTATGTATACATAAAAAAAAATGTTGATTGAGACTAACAATTTGTATTACAAGGAAGCGTGGCAACCCTGATAGAAAATATTTTCTGACCAAAGTTCTCAACAATACCTCTCATTTGATACCCATATTGCGATGTTTTATATAAATTGTGTAGAATCGAAAATAAGTGGCAACCTTACACTATTATCCTAAGACATAACATTTTGCGTATAGGGATAGCATTGTTTAAGAACCTTCTCTTGGTACCTATGAATAGTAATATTTTACCTTTTTTTTCTAAACAAACAATTAAATAAATATGCGATGCAAAATAGGTAGCAACTTTATTAAAAATATTGTTGAAGTAGGGATCTTTAAAATACCTTCCATTTGATACCCATATTATGATGTTTTAATTAATTTGTAAATAATTTCGAATAGGTGGCACCCGTATACGACTCTTCTCGGAGATACTGCCTATTCAGATCACCTTAAAATCCAAAACACACCTGTATACAAAATTTCATCAAAATCGTTAGAGCCGTTTCGGAGAACCCTATGGATATATATATATTAGACTGTCCCAAGAATATATGGAAAAAAACTTGTTTGCAAATTTTGATATGCATACCCTCTATATTTTTGCTTTTTAGCCTAAATAGCATATATATGAAGTTTTATGGCCGTAGGCTAACGATAACCCGTGCCGACTTTTAGTTGAAGTTTTACTTGGTAACTTGAACTAAGGCTGCCAAATCGTCCATGAAAACTTTGGAAATGCAATAAATTCGAAATGTTTCCCATATTTGAACGCATTTCTAGTAAATCTGCATCTTTAAATTTTTAATAGGACGACAGGATTTCTCCCAAGGACATCGAAAAAATTAATTAATCGAAAAGTATAGCGGCTTTTTAACGGTGCATTACAAGGCTGCAAAACGATATGTTTTCTAGTCGAATAATTTGTGTATGTCCTGAAGGATTGCAATTGTAGAACATTTTTTAATAGGTGTGACAGGGCGTATGTTGAACGTTAAATTATTAAATTCAACTTGTATTACAAATTTTTTTCCTCATTTAAAAAAATACCTTTCATAATTATAAATAATCAAAATAAATCGTTTTAGTCTTTGACATGTCCTCTCGGGTTGATATAATGGTTGGACTTCCGTATGACATAAAAAACTTTACTGATTTACAACAGTTAAACAGCCTGAAGGCACATATAAACTAAGAAAGCATATGATTTGGTTTATTCAATATTTTGTAAGGCATTTTTTTTAAGAAAAAGGAATGTAGTAGAAAAGTTGAATTTAATAATTTTGTATTCATCATGATAAAACAACCGAGCTCTTAGGAGTTCAATTAGAAAGAGCTTCTT